GTACTTACTACACACAAATGCATATCCTAAATATATACATCAGTACATACCCATGCACATACATGCATATATGCATAAATACAATACATACATACATAAATGTAGATCGAATGAAAAAGTATAAAAAGTTCAATATATAAAGATCTACTGAACCGATTTACATGAAATTTGGTAAGAAGATAGGTTGAGATCCTGGAAAGGACATAGGACACTTTTTATCCTAGAAACATCCCTTAAGGATGTAAAAATGGGAATGAAAGTTTGTATTGGGAGGCAAGCTAGAGACGGACCTGAGCGAAGTGAGAGTGAGTCGCTAGTGTATAGATAAGACACCAAATACCTTTTGTTTGGTATTACCGAGAATGCAAGCCTAAGGGCACATTATTTGTAGCTTATGTTACATGCACTCTCCGATACTCTTTGGTAAAAGATAATAGAATTATTATTAATTGTTAAAAGAAATTAAAATCAAACTAAAAATTTTGAATCATATTTTTATTTTTTTAGTTGATTTCTTCGGTACATCTGGGTAATTCGAAGCGAGGTATGTATATCTGGTGATAAACATTTATATATATCTAAAATATAAATAGTAATAAATAAATAAAAACTTGATACAATTAACTATTATATATTTAATGTTCGTAGGCATACCTACTGTGTGTTTTGCAGTGTTCTTTTATCTATACTAATATTATAAAGAGGTAAATTTTGTGAGCTTGTGACGTTGTAGGGAGTAATCTCTGGATCTACTGAACCGATTTAGATGAAATTTGGTAAAAAGATAATTTGATACCCTGGGAAGGACTTTTTATCCCGGAAATCATCCGTTAAAGGGGTGAAAATGGGGATGAAAGTTTGTATTGGGAAGAAAGCTAGGGACGACCCCGAGCGAAGCGAAGGTAAGTCGCTAGTAAAAATAAAAGACCATACAAATACAATACAGACGCTGTTACTCCAGGTTAAAGTTTATCTATATTGGTACTAAACATCCAAATTCATTCACCATTGTATTTGAAATAGTAGTGTAAAATATTACCATTTGCTTATCTTTTCTATGAAGATAAAAAAAGAAAGGATAAACAAGCATTGGTATTTAAAAACCATAGTTTTACTTATTTACATTTATTTTATAACCCAATTTTTGTTTTAGCTGACATGGTTTGTGAACCAAATTTGTCATTCTACGATGGTTGTAATACTTGCACTTGTAATGCTGAAGGGACAGGTGCTTTTTGTACGAAGATGAACTGCAGATAGATGTAAGAAAATAATATCGTATCCCTGACTGATTTCTCTTGAGCCACACTGAGCTTAGCTAACTGCGCAGAAGATATTATAGTGCACAATTATGCGCGTATATACGTACACTTACGAGTATGTGCACGTATTCTAGTCACGTCACTCTCATACTCCGGTGAGACAATTCGTTTCGGGGCTCCTCCAGTTAGAGATCAGACGCAGGATTGACGGCTTTATGTTCTAGGGTTCTTAGGGTTTAATGAATAAATAAATCTGTTGGGACATTAACACACAGCGCCATCTAGTTCCATGATAAGCTACGAGGCTTGTGTTATGGATACCGGATACTTGATACACTACACATATATAACTTTAAATACATACATATTATAAATATAAACAACCATGACAGGAGTACAAACATTCGTGCTCATCATAGAAATGTATGCTCCCAGCGGGTATCGAACCCGCGACCTCTGGCACACCATGTAGGGTCACTACAAACTGAGCCAAACGTGTCGTCGTATCATATACAAAGGGTATGACACAGCAAGCTTTCCAATTAGGGGCTATTGCTGAAAATCTTGACCTAAAAATCAATAACTATCTATATACTTGTCCTCGATCCCAGGACATTATGGATCTGCAGTTGTTCATGCTAGTCGTTAGTCCGCCGAGGCATTTAAACATGGTTTTCAACCGACTTCCTAAAAAAGGAGGAGGTTATCAATTCGGCTGTATTTTTTTTTATGTTCGTTACCTCAGAACTCCGTCATATATTAACCGATTTGGAAAAATTTTGTTTTGTTTGAAAGTATATATACTTTCAGATTGGTCTCATTTAAATAAAAAAAAATACCACCCATAAGGGCGGAAAAATAGCTAATGATGAATTTAACCTACTTCTAATTGTCATATTGACTTGAAATTTTGCAAGTGTTTCTATTTCCGTTGATAGTACAGAGGTTCGGCATTGTTGACCTGATCTGATGGTAAGGCCAGAAGGTGGATAGGTGGAACTCTTCAATACTTTGAGTTTGGGCTTATTTTGTTTGATTTGACAAGACTAAAACGTTAGAATTCTTACTTTGCTACTACTGTCTACACTAAAAAGGGAAAAATAAAAACTTTTTAACAAAAAAAATAAAAACCGACTTCAAACTAAAGCACTAAAAGTAAAAAATAACTGATTGGTAGTTTTCATTTACTATACATACCTAATCAAATATTTTCGAAGTCGGTGTGCTTTGCTTTATATGGGCTGGCACCGATTTCGGAATAAAATCGGCAAAAACGGAATAAAATTAAATCGGCTTTAATTACTTAGCCAAAGCACACCGACTTCGAAAATATTTGATTAGGTATGTATAGTAAATGAAAACTACCAATCAGTTATTTTTTACTTTTTAGTGCTTTTGTTTGAAGTCGGTTTTTATTTTTTTGTTAAAAAGTTTTTTTCCATAAGAAATTATACTATTATAGTTATGAAGTTTGTTAAACGATAATACGAATAAATGAAATATTATAATATGGCTCCTTAAATAACACACCATCTCATTGTCTCACTTTCATCATTTGTGTTTGAAGTTTGTTCACAGTTACGTAATAATAGCGTAAAAGTTTTAAAAACGAATAATCACATCATATATTTTACACACTTTTTTCTTGTTTTAGGAAGTATTAAGCTAATTCAGGATGCTAGTGGTATACAACATTTATGTCCGCTTTATTAATATCTGTTTTTGTTTCAGATATTAATTAACAAATATTCTCTTCAAGAATGGAAAACAACGTGCAAGCAAATAAAGCTTTTGGTCGTGTAAAATTTGTTTTTATTTTCTTAGAATGTTCAATTTCCCATATCCTACCATCTCACTGTAATAAACATGAACCTATTATCGAAAAGAATATTGAAAAAGAAAGTGCTGAAATAAAAATTATTACTTAAAACAATCTATTTTTAACGACCTTCGACTATTAAAATCAAACTTACATATATATATATATATATATATATATATATATATATATATATAAATTAATTCTAATTCATCTTCAAATTTTAATAAATGTGAATATCATGTGATATCATTTGACAAACACATTAAGGAAAATTCCATAATAGATAGCGCATTGAGCGGATACCTATTTTAATCTATATAATAAAATTGTAACTAAGCCCAATCTGTACAATAAATATTTTTTGGAAAATCTTATTGAAGTAGACTTTATTATCGATGCAGAGGCCGAACCAAGAGTTTTTATAATTTTTGTCTGTCTGTCTCTCTGTCTGTTACCACATCACGGGAAATCCACTGGAGGGATTTTGATGAAATTTGGTATGGTGATAGCTGGTTATCCAGGTCAACATATAGAATACTTTTTCCGCGAAAAACATCCCATTTTTGAGAAAAAATACAAAAACTGCAATGTAAGAGTATACTCATATGTAAAACCTAAGAATTTGGTTGTTGGTCATCTGAACGCGGGCGAAGCCGCGGGCAATATTAGTATTTAATATGAAGATGAAGTTTCCACAGATTTCTTGTAATTTCTCTAATACTTTTAAAGGCTTAGTAAAATTTTTATATAAGGGATTGTAATTTTTGTACATTTTAGTAATTATATGTATCCAATGCGGTCATATATTAAATTCGTCTGCATGTTTATACATAAGATATTATATTGACAGAAAACTTTATACATGTACCAATATACTGTGTACGTATCTACAATTTGAGTCAAATGATGAATATATTATTTTTGAAAAGGACGTTATTTTTACATTCAAAACATCCAACATTATAAGAAAACGCGAATTAGGACAGCAAGTAGCATTTGATAGATTTTTGAGTTTGTCTAAATAAAAGTTAAAATTTGTTTAATTTTAGGAAAAAATCTTAAAATGAGATATTACATATCATTACATTTATTTACGAATTTTCACCACAACCTGCAGGACACCGCAAATACCTGAACGCCCCGGTAGATATAATGTCCAATCCCACAAATACCAGGATTGAAGTTATTTTACGGGATAGCATTCACTAGAGGCCACTATGATAAAGGATTCAAAAATAAAAGTATATATAAAGCAGAAAGATGCTTAAAGTCCAAGTAAACGTAACACGGTGGTCCAACGGCTAGAATGTACGGCTGTAGTATCGGAGGTCCTGGGTTCAAATCACCGGTCAGGCCAACTTTATTTACAGAGTTTTTCTGTTTAGATATTATCAGTAGTAGCCCGGAGTTGGGAGGTTGGCAGTGTTGCATTCCCGAAAAAATCTTTGAAGAGCACAGAGAGAGAAAGAGTAAAGCCGTCGGTCCTGCGCCTTAACTCTCACAGTTCGTGTCGAAATATCGTCCCACCGGACTTTGAGAGGAAAAGGAATAGAGAGTGCATTTGTGACCGCTTGTACACTTGTACACTATGTATAATATCTCCTGCGCATCTGGCTAGTCGCAATGAGATTGGCCGCCGTCACCGAAATCAGTCAGAGGACATTACATAAATATATCATAATATATTAATATAAAATCTAGTATAATATTATAGCCGGAAAAATTAAAAAAAAAATGTAGTTACCCTACATATAGACGAACAAGAATCGAAATGAAACTAATTTTTCTAAATTAAAAACATAATCTCAGCTTATAAATTCAATTGTCGATATTGAATATTGTAAACCTATCGCACAACTACATAGAATCTGTCCTTATTGAAAGCAGTATTTAATAAAATTATTTTATTATTCGAGATGTACAAGCAACTTATTTTATTGATAGTGGTAAGCCTTGTTATGTGTATTCAACCCTGTTTAACGTCCCACTACTGGGCACGGGCCTTCCAATACGAGGGGGATCAGGCCATAGTCCACCACGCTGGCCAAGTGTAGGTTGAAGGACTTCACATGTCTTTCGATAATTTGCTAGATTTTCTCAGACATAGAAAGTTCCTCACAATGTTTTCCTTCACCACATAAAAAATAAAACTAAACTATATAACAAGAGGGAGTGGTAGTCCAGTGGTAACGCGCTCGCTTGGGAAACCGAGTGAAGTAAGTTCAAATCCCGGCTCTCGCACCTCTTATATTTTCATGTGCGAATCATTTCTAACATGATTACCACTTGCCTTACGGTGACGGAAAACATCATGAGGGAACCTGCATGTATGAAAGAACGTAGGAAGTTTTCGAAAGACATGTAAAGTCCGCCAACCCGCACTTTGCCAGCGTGGTGGACTATGGCCTGATCCCCCTCGTATTGACGAGAGACTCGTGCCCAGCAGTGGAACGTTAAAAAGGGCTAAATACAGACCAATGAGACCATCTGACAATGACCAGAGAGATGAATCGAAAGTCTTAAGTACCACCAATTTTATTCTTCATTCTTATTATTTTTCGATAAAAAAAAACAAAGATTTCTTGTTAATTTAAAAATTTAAAAGGTATTAAAATCCAAATAAAAAGAATGTTAAATCATGTTTCTGTTTTAGTTGATTTCTTCGGCACATCTGGGCAATTCAATGAGATGGAGGCGAGGTATGTATATATATATGTATATATCAGTGGAAAAATATATTTTATTTATATAGTATAAATAACTGAAAATAAATAAATAAAAATATTACGTTAAAAGTAATAATTCTGTAAATTATCGTAGGTATGAGATTTATTTTTATAGAGTTCATTTTATAGTTTATTAAAAATATTATTTTGGCTTGTTTAATATTTTTAGAAGTTTTTATCCACCCTAAAAGTACATGGTAGAGTGTAACAAGCTTCGCTTCGCTCTTATCGACCTTTCTATTGACCATAAAAATACTTGCTAGAACGAAGAGTAAAAACAGACTTTCGCTTCGCTCTTATCCTCCCCAACCAAATTTCATTTCTAATAAATTTCTGATCCAAATTCAATCACCATCGCATTTCTAAAAGTAGTATAAAGCATTACATCTTACCATTTTCTTATCTTTTATATGAAGATCGTATTAATTCAAACTAAAATATATTATGTCCTTATATTTTTGAACTCATTACAAATTTTCTATCAGAAAAGGACAAAGAAAAATTGTACATTAACTAGTGTAGTATTTATTGCAACTTTACTTGTACCTTTTTACATTTATTTCATAAACCAATTTTTGTTATAGCTAACCGGCTTTGTGCACCAAATCAGCCATTCGACGATGATTGTAATACTTGTGTATGCGACGATACAGGCACAGATGCTGTTTGTACGCTGATGGCGTGTCATAGATGTAAGAAAATAAAATCATTTCACTTGAATCATGATCAAAGTAGATAGCACAGGATTTATTATAGTATACATGTATGCATGCACAGTGCAAGTGCAAGTGCACTCTCTGTTCTGATCACTCTCATAATCAGGTTGCAAGAGATCAGGCACAGAACTGGCTTTATACGATCTCTTAGGTACAGTGGTGTGACTTGGTTAAGTTCTGAATTCCCGGTTTTTGCTGAGAATTTGTTACCAGTAAAATCAATAACTATACATTAGGCCTGATATAGGACTCGAAACCGAGACCACTGGATCTGCATCTGTACATGCTAGCCACTATACACCATGGCAGTTAAACTTATTGAAATAAACATTAGTATCGATACAGAGGCCGAATCTATAGTTTTTAGAATTTGTCTGTTACCGCATCACAGAAAAACCACTGGAGATATTTTGATGAAATTTGGTATGGTGACATATAGGATACTTTTTACCGCCTGAAAATATCTCATTTCTGGGAAAAAATACAAAAACTGCAATGAAAGATATGTATACAAATATGTAAAACCTAAGAATTAGGTTTTTGCTCATCTGAACGCGAGCGGAGCCGCGGGAAATGCTAGTTTTTTTCTATAGATTGATATAGAAGGAATAAATGGAAAATTATATTATTATGGTTTTGTAAACAACGCAGCACCTTGTTATTGAGCAATTTATTTACAGATACGGTATAATTTCTCAAATGTTTTAAAAATAAATAATATAATCTATTGTCATGTATGTCGCTTGTCTTATCAAATTCATTAAAATTCAAACATAAAACCGGTACGGCTGGCAAATTTTGTGTGTTAAACAATATATATTTTTTTGTTGTTGGCCACTTTAAGCTAGTAATACTAACAATCTAATATAATAGTTATGACAGTTATATCTATTAAAAACTCTTATTGTTTCAGACATAGACTAACGATAACATCTTGGAAAATGAAAAATAACGTATAAACTAAAATAAAGTTTTTGCACCTGTATCATTTTTTTTTATTTGCTTAAACAGTTTAATTAATATAACACCGAAGAAAAGATTATGACATACAAAATATTGAAATAAAAAATATTACAAAAAATATGTACATTATTACAAGAATGGATTTTTCTGAACGACCTCTGACTATATCGAAATCTATGTTACTTGTATAACTTAATTCTTAATCAAATTTGAGTAGTGTCTCTATCATATTATTATGAAAATGTAGTTTTACAAAGACGGAGGATTTCGTAGTTAAAAGGCTTGAGTGGAGGTCTTTATCTAATATTCAATATGAAGATAAAGTTTCGACGTCGATTTTCTTAACATAAAAACTCAAAAGCTACGAGTATATACTTGACTCGACCTAGTATTCCCAGGACCTCCGAATCCGCAGCCGTACATGCTAGCAATTAGACCAACGATGCAGTTTATTTGTACATATACCAATATTATTATTATTATTAACTACAATTTAAGTCAAATAATTTGTCAGTTAGTTCAAAGTAAAAACGGATATTTAAATTAAATTAATACATTTGAGAAATGCTTTAAACCGATAGTAAAGTTTAATCACATCGAATTGTGAAAACCAAAATATAAAAATAATTTTGAATTACAAAGGTAAAAATGAATTTTTAATTACTTTATTCCCATTTAATAAATGTACATAAGTGACGTTAAGATACTCCGACGTGAATGAGGATATCTATAACCGATATACCCAACCGCTTATAAAACAAACAATATTGAATACCGAATTTCTGGTTTGCAGCTCTCTTAGTAGCATTGAAAGAGGGTTTAGAGATTTATTTTTAGTTATGAAAAAAGTACTGCACCAATACCAGTGGTCCTATCATCCGACCAGTTGCTCTACCTATGAGTCGTACCTTTATTTTGAGTGTATACTTTTTATAACATACTAGCGGACCCGACAGACGTTGTCCTGTCTACACGTCTTTAATTTGAAAATTTCAAACTTTTTTTAATAATTTTTTGATGAAAATTATTATTCAAATTGTGAATCTAAACCATTCCCAGATCCCCTTGAACACACACAAAAAATTTCATCAAAATCGGTCCAGTCGTTTGAGAGAAGTTCAGTGACATACACACTCACAGAAGAATTATATATATAAAGATATATTTGATTATAATAAATAATAAATATGTTGGGACATTAACACACAGCGCCATCTAGTTCCATGATAAGCTATGAGGCTTGTGTTATGGATACCAGATAGTTGATACACTACACATATATAACTTTAAATACATACATATTATAAATATAAACACCCATGACTGGAGTACAAACATTCGTCATTACACAAATGAATGCCCCCAGCGGGACTCGAACCCGCGACCGCTGGCACAGCAAGTAGGGTCACTACAAACTGAGCCAAACGTGTCGTCAATATTCAGAGGTGCAAACATTTAGAAGTAAAAACGTAAGATATAACTTCAAGAAATCACAATGACAATTTTTATCTCTTTTAGAAGGATGTTAACCTACCGAGTTAAAATTTTATTATTTTAAATCCCAACGATTTTTAAGTTCAAGAGTGTTTATGTAAATTTAAATATTATTATAATATGTATGTATAATGTATATGTGTATATATTTTTTTAATTTTGTGTATATTATATATAGTTATATGTGTAAGGTTTATATATGTAACAGTATTTTTTTCTTTGATGTATCTTCTGGCACTAATGGACCTGCTACTTAACACTATCTTTCACATCCATGAGTTGACTGGAAGAAATCTCTTTTAGGGATAAGTCCACCTTTGCCTTTGTCCTTTAATATGCAATTTAAATATTTTGTTACATAAGTGCAATAAAGAATATACTATGTGTAAAAATTGATTTTTACGTGCAGGAGTTTCAATATGCAAAAAAATAACCTTAATCTAACGAGATGAAAACTTATTCTTTACAATGTTTTTTTTTATAGAAACACTAGCGGACCCGACAGACGTTGTCCTGTCTACACGTCTTTAATTTGAAAATTTCTAACTTTTTTTAATATTTTTTTTGATGAAAATTATTGTTCAAATTGTGAATCTAAACCATTCCCAGATCCCCTTGAACACACACAAAAAATTTCATCAAAATCGGTCCAGTCGTTTGAGAGAAGTTCAGTGACATACACACTCACAGAAGAATTATATATATAAAGATAAATCGCTGTTGCAATATATCACACACCAACAATAATCGGATGAATAATATTATATTTTTACGAAGAGACACACCGTTAAGATATTTAACCGTCAACTACGCATTTAGGAGAGTTTTCGCAATAACCGAAATGGGCCGACCATATTACCTAAATTATATTAAATTTAATTATACCTTACTAAGGCTGGATGTAGACCACATTTGGTTTTTTTTAGATAATTATAAATGTCTGTTTTCAATAAATTGAATATGAAATCTCTTTATATGAAAACTTTCATTTTGTACCAATATAAATGAATATTAATTTATATACATGTACTTTTTAAATGTAACATTTTTTTTCAAATTATATTTATTTTACAACCATGGTATAATCGATTTTACCATGAAATTAACTATACATTCTTCAATGTGGCAATTTTTTAAACTAAATAACTTACAAGTTTATATTTATACCTTCTAATTCCATAAAAAAAGATTACAACAACACTGAGACCTCAATACTAAGAGGTTAAATTCAAAAATTTTGAAAACAGAAATTTTCGATGTCACGAATGTCACAAATTCCTTCACACTATTTTTCCTTCTATACTCACTCCTTTACTGTCCAATCTGCCCGACTTGGGAACTTTTTACCAAATAAAATTAAACAAACCGATTCGCTGTCATTATTTAAAAAATTAAGTACAGAATACTATCTTAACCTAATAAATTCAATTCTCTTGTTTATGGTTTCAAAGCTAACCGAATGAAGTGCTAAATGATGTTATATTTTCTATGTTTAATGTGTATGTATGTATGTATATATCAATTTGTGTGTCGATATATAAGACATCAAGCTCCATGATACATCATGGTTCGACAAACTTTCCGATACTAGAGCCGAACGACACGAAAGCGACAATCTCCCACCCATATAGTCCATGTGTCGCGACGTACATCTGCTCTGGTCGCAGTCGGCCTTGCTGGTCCAGAATTGGATTGCACAGTCACAAACGAAAGTGCTTAAAGTAACCATACTCTGCTTAAAACGTCTGAAATAGATGGAAAGGCCACAGCATAGCCAATATACGTGTGTATGTATGTACATATTTGTTTGTCTGTGTATGAATTCATTTGTATATATTCTTAAGATTGTTTGCACCCCTTTCTTCTCTCTTTCTTTCTCTCTACCCGAAGGTTGCCTAAAATAGATCGCTCTCTAGCGAATAGGACGCCTATTGTACTATTTTTCTTTAATCTGTTTCAACAATGTAATTTAAAATAATGGTGTGCAATGAAGAATATTTGAAAGACTGCAGAAGATACGAAGGAGATTTTTTAATAAAATAAGAATGGATACTTCATAACATTTGTATTTACCCTACTACCTTTTAACTAACATTAATCGAAACGAAATTAATAGCATGCGTATAGTTAGTTATGCATAATGCGATTATGCATAAAGCATTCAATAATATATAATTAATGCTTATCACACAACAGCACAGAATCTATCCTTATTGAAGCTGTGATCAATCTAGTGAATATTTTAATCGAAATGATTAAGCAAATTATTTTATTACTAGCGGTAAGTTTAGATTACATTTTCATCATACTGTAAATTATTTGTGTACTATATGAGGTACGTAAATAAATACTATTTCCATGAAAAACGCAACAGCTGTAGCACTAAGAAATGTAAAAATACTTCTCAATTCGGATGTACGTTTTTGTGAACATTACTTCAAATGTTAATCAATAATGAGTCCATTTCAAAAATTCCTTTTTCTTGCATCGGTGGTCTTAGTAGCTAGCGTGTACAGCCGCAGATCAAGAGGTCCTGGGTTCAAGTCCCAGGTCGGGCCGAGTTTAGTTATTGAGTTTTTCTGTTAAGCAATTTTCAGGATACACGAAGTTGAAAAGTTGACGGTGTCACCCACGTGCATCGGAGAGCACGTGTCACGTCGACCCTTTACCTTAACTGTTACTGGTCATATCGAAGTATCGTCCCATTATTCTATGCAGGGACACGCTTATGCGTAACACAAGAATCTATTGCTTAGTTATTGCATGAGAGGAGTTCAAAACAGATTTATAATTATTTATAATATTAAAAGACTGAATAGATAGAAGTTTAAATAAAAGTATAGATAGCTCTATGGTAAAACGAAAGCAAATTAATTCGCAGTACAATTCGTAATTTTATTTTTATTTTAGCTAATTTCTTCAGTGCATCTAAGCGTAATTCCCTTGGACGGACTGGTGCTATTTAGACGAGGTATGTATCGTATCCATTGATAGTATAAGCACCTATTTAAATAAAAATATAAAAGCAAAGCAAGTGCTAACTCATTTTTTTGATAATTTGCATGTATTTTGTTATATTTTTTATATTACAATATTCGTATTTTAGCAATTATTTCCTACTATAAAATTGTATGCTATTTCAGAATTAGATGGTCTCTTTTTTATATCAAGTTCCTACAAAAAATAGCCAGTTACTACATTTAATTACAAACCTACTCCTTGCAACTTTTCAAACAAATTCAATTTAAATAAAATATCGTACTTTAAAAAAAAATGCAAATATACAATCTAAAGTATGACTAACTTAATTGTACCTTTATACGTTGGAATAAATCAATTTTTGTTTTAGCTGACTGGGTTTGTGTACCATATTCAAGAATCTATGTTGATAATAAAACTACTTGCTTATAATACAATCCAAAAAATATTTATGATCAGAATTACATGAAACTTGGTATTAATTCTCTTCAATAAAATTAAATAAATACGTGTTTTCGCATTTTTCGAAATTCATTCTATAAGGGGGTAAAATTGGGGATAAAAGTTTGTATGAAACTACCTTTTTAAAGGTTTTTTTGTAGTTATAGCGCGAGCGAAGCCGCGGGTTCTGCTAGTAGTATATAAGTATAAGTAGTATACATTTTTTTAACTTGATTATTTTTTGCAAAATATTAATAATGGTTCCTGAAAGTAACTATGCAAATATATTTTTTTAGGTATAAAATTGAAATCTTTACTGTAAACATTTTTTCCCCTTGTCACTCTCATTTTTCAGTAACTTGTTGTTATAAATTGTTGTAATCATCGCACAATTTTTTATTTTTACCTTTTTTTATTTGAGCTTTTAACAATGCAATCGAACAGTTTTTATGACGATTTATTGACTTTCCCTGCATTCCGAGATTTTACAATTTTTATGCCTTACGACCCGCCACAGTTTTCCTTTACTTAAAATATTTTTAAGTCCGTGTACTTTTGAGGATACGTTTTTTCTTTTAATTATTTTACGTAAACTTTAATAAGAAAACAATGTATATAATTCCGTCTGTACTTTGGGTATACAAGTATTTACCGAAGCTTAACACTGTAACAGATGCCGATATTAATTATCGATTCATAATTGTATTGCTTGAAGGAAAAACAAACCAACAAACTAATAACTATTTATAATATTAATATTCTTTGTTTTGTGGCTTTTAAGCATGTAATTGGAACCAATATACTTCGCTAATTAAAATATATTATATGCTATTACGTTTAAATCGCGTTAAAAATATAATATACAATTTAATTAAAATCGACATAAACCAACCGTTACAAGCATGCAAAAAAGTAGGGTTGGCACCAAAAAATATATAAATAATAAGATTACTGTAGCACTACATTATTCGTGTGTGTTGTGTCATTGCGTGAATATGTTTGGTAGTCTTTATACTGTAAAAGCTCACCGGATTTAATTGAAATTTAAAGTGGACAATGGATTAACACTCTTTAAAGCCTTTAATATGATAGTCTAGCAGTACGCGCGACTTCGCTCGCGTTCAAACTCCCGATCTCTACCATACAGGGTCATCCGCTGGGCTAATCTGAAGATTTCCTGAAAATTTCATCGTAATCGTGTTGGTGTTAATGGATAACATACAAACCCACATGGATTTTTGTTGTAAATATATACAGATTATATTTTGATACATATTTGTAGTAACCCTATCTATCTATAGGACTGAAACAAATTGAAACAAAAACGAATATAAGGAATATTATATATAATACTTAGAAACGTCGACACTGTTTATAATTTCAATTTTTTCATAGATTCTTTATAAATTCAAATTTCCCATAGAATATTTAATACTTTTTTAGCGCCCAACGACACAGCATTTGTTGAAAGTTGTGTTTAGTCAAATTGCATTTTTTATCGGCATCGACATGTTTAAGCAAGTTATTTTATTGTTTGTGGTAAGCCTTTTTATATAGATTTATTTTTCGAGTTGTCTTGGTGTGGTATAAACAAATATTCTCATGTAAGGTGCCAGTCTTTTAGACTTTTTAATCTATTCTTATAAACTAATACTGTTAGATAAGAAAGAAGAAGATATTTTGGGGCGTATATTTTTTGGTTACATAGTATTATTATGCTTAGCAATTGAACCGATTCTTCTAATTTCCGTAGGGTTCCGTAGCTAAATAACTAAACCGAACCTTTATTATTTCACCTTGCTCGTCTGCCCGTATGTTACAAATGCTGAAATTTGATAGATTTTTAATAGGCTGACATAACGCAACGGTGACACTCCATCGTAGTTGTGTGCGTAAGCAATCCTGCGACGCTTTTCCACATAAGCATGAGGGACACTTTAACATGCGTAAATTGGAAATTTCTTAAAAACAACAAGATCACTTAAATTATTTAAATAGATAGATGTAAGATACAAACAAATAAAATCGCAGTATAATTTTTAATGACTTGATTTCTGTTTTAGTTAATTTCTTCGGTGCATCTATTACAATTGAATAACCCGTGGCTTCATAGACGACGTAAGTATATCTGTTATCAAAAACTTTTAAATAGTTGTTTTAGATTTAATTTAATGTATTTTTTATTATATTAATTCATTATATTGGTCTTCGTTATTGTTTTGTACTACTACATCTGGTTTCATACTTTTATTTCATAGATTTTAGGACTCTTACATACTTAAAAGCTATTACAGAACTAAATTTCTCTTCATGACAAAATCCGTCAAAAATTAGTTACCAAGTTTAATACCAAATCACATATTATTAAATATTAGTATGTTATATGTATTAAAATTTCGAAATTCAGTATAACTATTGAATTCGGTAAGTCGCTTGGAAAACCAAGTTAAGCAGGTTCAAATCCCAGGTCTCGCACCTCTGATATTTTCATATGCGAATCATTTCCAACATGATTATCACTTGTGTAACGGTGAAGGAGAACAACGTGAGGAAAATGATCCCCCTAAGGGAAAACAGCTGTAAAGCGATTGTAGCTTTTCAACCGAACTATAAATTTAGTAAGCGTTAAACCGCATAAGCCATGAATCGCAAAAAAATTTTATGTTTCCATTTTTAGTGTAGACATAGCAGTAGCAAAGTAAGAAGAAAGAATTTTAATAATATATTCGCTTAAACCGTTTAAGTTACTTAGATGCCAAATTTTATACGAAGACTTACACGCTTTTATTAGTAACACTAAAAATTCTGGCTCTAAAATCCGGTCCTAACGTGTTAAGCTTGTGAAATCAAACAAAATAAGCCTAAACTCAAAGCAAAGAAGCCGTTGAAGAGTTCCACCTATGCACTTTCTGGCTTTACCATCAAATCAGGTCGATGATACTGAACCACTGCACTATCGACAGAAATAGACACACTTGCAAAGTTTCAAGTCAATATGACAATTAGAAGTAGGTAGGGAAATTCATCATTTGCTATTTTTCCACCCTTAGGGGTGGTAATTTTTTTTTTGAAATATAAATCTGACTTATCTGGAAGTATACACTTTCAAACAAAACAAAAATTGTCTAAATCGGTTAATCAATGACGGAGTTCTGAGGTAACAAACATATAAAAAAACATACAGCCGAATTGAGAACCTCCTCCTTTTTGACTTTTTGAGGAAGTCGGTTAAAAAATGGCTGAATGCAACATTAAATTCTGTATATTATTGGTTATCTTTGGTAACTGTGTATATATTATATTATTATAATTAAGTATGTTTGTTTAGTTTCAGATGACCAGAGCTGTGTACCAAATACGGTTATCAAAGTTTCTTGTAATATATGCCACTGCTCCCCAGATGGTAGAATTGTTGGATGTAAGCCTGTGCTATGCAATGATGATGTGTAAGAAAAAAATAGAATATCTTGTATCTAGTATTAAGTTACTACTATTTATACTTGTAGTAATATAGAAAACATATTTTAAAAATTTAAGGACAACTTCAGAGAAAAAAAAGGAATAGTATAAATATTATATTTCTAACGCAACAACTTAATTTTTTACTCGTGTATTTTGAAAATTATTTATAGGCAGCGAACTTTTTTTTTTTCATGAGAACAACCAAGCTGAAGTCAACAATATTAATACAATGTGTTTTGACACAATACTCTTATTGTTTCAGATATTTTCCCTCGAGAGGCTAAATAATTAAAATATTTATTCAAATACCATATTTTTTTAATTAATTAAAAAGTGACCTATTATCCCAACTAAGAAAATATTAAAACGTACGTAACACTGCAAAAAAACTAAAATTGCAATAACTTTTTTTTTATCTTCGTTACTCCTCTGCCATAGAGATATTGACTAATGCTTGTTTTCAACCGACTTCCTCAAAAAGGAGGAGGTTCTCAATTCAGATGTATTTTTTATCTATTATGACATTGTGTTACAAAGCTACATTTCAAATGGACTTTATGCTGAAGTGGAGTTTTTAAAGGCTTTTTAAATTTACAATTTTTATATGGAACATCACAATCATCAACAACACTGGCGCCTTTTGGCAGTAACACTGACTCGTGTTGTGACGGCAAACGGCAGCGTGCTGCGTGACGCTGTTCTACACCACTGCTCTCGGCTCTCTTGTGTGTGCGCGCTCAAGTACTATACACGCTCCATTGTAAAACAGAATCTATAAAAAATACATATTTTTCTTATATATATACTATATATACTTTCTTTCTTATATATATACCTGGGCGTCCGAGCTTCGCTCGGAGTTTTTGCCCAGAAATACAATTTTCCGTAAAAAAAACAAAAACCTTACATAAATACAAGAAAAGTAAAAACTTTGTATCCAACCGGGATCGAACCCGGAGACCAGCTGTGATTCTCGATCTTGTGTCTTGGCCAATTGACCACGATGCTTATGCCCGAGCGTACGAATTTTGCGTACATATTTTGCGTGGCATAATGCGAAAGAAAACTGCATGAAAACTCGAAAAGACGACTTTTTCCAGACAAGACTAATATTGATCGATTTTTTGCCCCCGAAAACCCCCACATTAAATGAAATGAAAGAGTTAAATTACCGAACCTCCGATATGCTGGACACTTCCCTAGAGAATTCACACTGTTTTATTAACCAACTTCCAAAAAGGAGGAGGTTCTCAATTCGTCGGAATCTTTTTTTTTAATGTTCACCGATTACTCGAAGACGCCTGAACCGATTTGGAATTTTTATTTTGTTTCAAAAGGTACCCAGGTGGTCTCATATAAGTTGTAAATTGAACCTTTAATGCAATGCTTAAATTTGTTTTCACACATATTTTTTTCAAATTAAAAGCGCGCTCAAATTACCAAATGAGCGCTCATTCGGTGCGGACATTTTTGTCGCTGATTGTGTTTCTAATAGTTTTTGGATTGATACTATTTACAAATAAATATATTATTGTATTTGAACCTGACTGGTCCAAGCATGGAATACTAAAATATATTTATCTGAACTGAATTGTAAAACTTTTAAATAGGAAAAGTTATTGTGTGTCCTATGTGTGTATATGTATATTTATTAATCTTCACGCCGAAACGTAAACAAAACCAGATTTGTATGGAATTTAGCACATAGACTATGACTATGACTGACTATAGTAACATATGGGTTACTGTTAGGCACCTAATGATGCACTCGCATGAAACGAGGGTAAATCGTAACTCGCTTGTTATATAATCTATATAAATATAAAAAAATATGTATGTATGTTTTTCTATCGACTCCAAAACGGGTGGAGTATTTTTGATGAAATTTTCAGGCAATTTTCAGATTGGCCCAACGGATCGTAAGAACGCGAGCGAAGCCGCGGGTTTTACTAGCAGATAATATAATAGGAGAAAGTGTTTCTAATTAAGCTTGCAAGTATTGGCCCACACATAGCAACTAGCAAACTAACAAATATTACAAGTTAAATAAAAGCTTGGGAAAATATGACATTAGACTTCGTAAGCAAATACAGAATAATTTATAATTGTACATAATTCGTCTCCAGAGCAACGAGTCCTACAAGCGAATGAGATATACCGATGAAATTAACTAGAACGAAAATATTGTTTTAAAATGCATCGCCAATTTATTTATTTTTTCTTTTTCTGACGATTATGTAGTATGTTTTAACGTTTAGTATAGATTTCTCAGAGATGAGATATTTTCTCGCAGTAAAAAGTATCCTATATGTTTACCCGGATAGCCAGCTATCATCATACCAAATTTCATCAAAATCTATCCTATGGTTTTCTCGTGATGCATTCCCAAACAGATAGACAGACAGACCAAAATTCTGAAAACTATAGACTCGGCCTATGTATCGATAATAATGGCTATTTCAATAATAATTTCCAAGAAATATTTAATGTACAAATTCGATTTAGAATTTTATTATATGTATAGATATACGAAGCTACTAATATTATACATACAAATGTGTTAATTATATTTTTGTTCCTCCTTTACTAATATAAAACTATTTACAGACTTTTTCGCGTTTTATTTAGAATTTTATTTTCCCACGTCTTCAGTCTCACGTTTTCAGTCTCTCGTGACAATCATGGTATAAAGCATCTGAAACTTCGGAAGTCAAAATTAAATACAACGCAAAGAATTCCGTAAACGCAGTTTTTATTTTAATGTTAAATATTGGAATAAACCTAAGAAAGTATTATAGATAGCCATATTTGTTGGCACAAGGATAGTTCATAAGTCATATAGATATAGTGATATACATATATATTATACATATACTCTGGTCAGCTCCACCTTCTAAAGTATGCTCCTGTTATTTTATCGTTGAAAGAGATTCATGAAAGTCCAACAATCGGCTTCTTGCTGACGCAGATACCACATCGTTAAAAAAATACTATACACTCTACTACTAAAGCACTCGCTTCCTTCATCGGATTATACTTTACTAGCATTTGCCCATTGGTATGCCCCGTGTTAAGAATCTTACAAACGTTCATCCCCTTTTTATCAATTTCCAAAATCCTTAAAGAATCCTTTACCTGAGGATACCTACTCCCTATGAAGAATCTACCTGCCCAGGCTTATAGCATTTATACCACAGATTAAACAAATATTACATAGTTTCATATACATATATCTCTCTATCTATGGCATCTTAGTGTCAATCCCATGCTCAGCAGTGGGAAGTAGGCGGAAAAAATAAAATTCAGCTATACATATAACAATGCTTACGCTAGCAAAAAAATTACTTGCTTTAAATACATATCGATTTATAAAGTAATTCAATAAAACACCACTTTCAAGGACAGATGCAAATATATGCTATTTTTTTATATTATTAAGTTAAACAATAACGATTCGCATAGGTTTAATGGGAAGGTTTCAACAAACCCATACTAGTATTATAAATGTGAAAGTGTGTTTGCTTATTTGTTTGTCCTTCTTTCACGTCGAAATGGATTGAGGGATTGGCGTAATTGTTTGTCTGGAGATAGTTGGAGGGCTGAAGAGTGACGCTACTTTTTACTACTACTTTTTACGCTACTTTTTACCGCGGGAAATTATCTCACTCCCAAGGGAAAATACGTTTTATTTTGGTATTATATATTCTTACCTACTTATTAATACAATTAAATAAATACTTGTTTTAGCATTTTTCGAAATTAATCCCTTAATGGGATGAGTTTTAGCGCGAGCGAAGCCGCGAGTTCTGCTAGGTAATAATAAAAAATATATGTGCTAAATATATTGCATAAAAGTATTATAGATTTACTTTAAGTAATTTTTCATTATACTAAGTTATAAAGACAATAGTACACCTCTGGTCTCATAAATCGTAATATAAAGCCATAAGTTTTCCCGTTGAAATTTAGAATAAGATAAGAATAAGATAATTGAGAGTGCACGTGCCTATCCTATTTATGTCTTATGTCAAAATCCCTCAAGATATCATGAAAAAATAACGTTTTCCTAACGAATTTTCTGCAAAATAAAATGAGTTAGTAACGAAGTTTCCCTTAGTATATACGAGTAAGTATTGTACATATCTACATATCTTCATAAAATTGTAGGTAGGTATGATTACACATTACTATTTTTCAATACTTTCGGAATTCTTCCTAATCCCGGAATCTATATAGCAAGCGTCACGTGGATGTAGGTTATACGCCGTCCAGTAGTGCCGGTAACAAGGAATATGCGTGATTTATTTATTTTTTTACTTTTTATTCAATAGTTTACATCGTTGTATAATTGTAAAAAAAATCCAGCCCCACAAAACTAAAATTTTGTATTCAAATTTTTTGTAAAAATATACAGATACGGATACCTTAAACGCCCGCCATTTCGCGCGCTTGGCGTGACGTCACAATCTATCACACACAGATAAAAGACGACTTTTGCTTAAGCAATTTGTAGCGACAAAATCGCTAATCGCTCTGTTATGATATACTCTGACGTCACATTCGGTCTGACCAAATGCGTCGCGTTTCAACTACTTTGAATTGCACATCAATTTTTGCACTTTTAATATTATCATTTTCTTAATCATGACGAAATTACATAAAAAATATTAATATAGGCTTAATTCAAAAGTAATAAAGATTATACAAAAACTATTTCACCTTTAAGTAAATCACACGCATATTCCCTATATAGCTGGGTGTATAGGTAAGAGTTCCATTTAAGAGGCAGCCCTCTTTGGTGGATCTTGACTTCTCTGATTTCTTTACCGTGAGACCAACCCCCTGATTTTTTCGATGTGTCATGGAAAACCAAACGGCACCAGGGACGTTGTGGTTTAGTGGGAAAGTGGAATGGAAGATTCTCTTGGGTTTTAGGCTCCAAAAATAACATAGCGCTAACCCTATCTGTTACCTTTCGAATCTGTTCTCATTACACGCTTCTTGCGGAATTATTGATTATTTTTATGCTTATCTGAAGTAAATATATTGAATGTTACAGTCGCATTCATAAATGCAATTAGACATTTGCTAATGCGTCGATTTTCACACAGCGCGAGCGCAACAAGACGGAGGTTGACTTTTTAGAAAATTAGGGATAACATTGAATATGCCCAAATATCTGTAACAAGATATTGCCGGAGCTTAGAGAGGCTGTGTACTTCTAGTAATAGAAGGATAGCTACAATAAGGTAAAGAGGTGAGTTGTTTCAAGGAATGAAAT